GGAGCAGACCAGCGACGGGACCGCAGAACGGACTGCCTTGAGGGCTCCGTTCTCTCATATGGACCCTAACTAATGGACGCTCCCTCAAATGGACGCTCCCTGAGGAACTGCTTTCTCTCATGGGACTCTGTCACTCTGAGAGGGGCCTCGGGTGGCCGTGGGTCACGCGCTGCAGTCAACAGGGCATATTTATATGATAGATAATTCGATAAATCGCATCGAATAGACCACGGCGGTCATCACGATGAAGGCCAACCAGCGATCAGCCAAGACATGGACGCATTCACAAACAGTGGCTGCAGGCTGCAGCCCATGGCAAGGGAAACTAAGGACTATTTCAATATCTTATTCACATAAAGGTAGAGACGAGGCTTGAGTCGTAGGAGGTAAAGACGTTTATTGGCCTGCAAATGTGCTTACAAAACGGTCCACTAGCGTCTGATAAGTGTGGCACCATGCAGCTTGAACTGATTTTGTTGAGATGCATCATTTCGTGCCTGTTGATAAAGTAGGGCAAATGTAGGTCTCACGCACCTGTAACTTCACGAGCAGCATCAAAGGACAAAGGCAGCCACAACATGTAGTTGATAGTAAATGGCGTGCTTCAGTAGCCTGTCCACGTTGGTGACAAGAACACGGTTCATCTCCAGCACATGTCGAATATCAAAACTTATCTATGAACCTCAATGGAACATGTGTTGAAACGTTTGCATATGTAAATATGTAGATAGATGCACGATAACGTGTGTAGTAGGCAGATTGTCACTCACTGCATATATGATCAGCTAATTAGTGTGTTAAAGGGCGTTGGCGAAAAAGACAACTTTTAGTCATTATTTATTCGACGAGATGAGAGCCATATTTTTGTATACGACTCGTATGATATTTTGTTTAGCCGGCCTGACATGTCGTTTACGTTTTACATTGCCTTCGTCGCTAGCTGTTGGCATGTATGGTGTATCTAGGAGGAAGCCGCTTTGTGCGGCACATTTTGTATCACTGCATGCTGCGCGACGTGCTTCATTTTATTGTGCACATCGATGGTCAGAGTTGTGCGCTATCGATGTATAACAACGGCAGCGTGCCCAACAATCACTACATTAGCGTGTCTGTCTCCTACTATGGACGTCAAACCCCTTGAGACCCCACTTTTTTGCGATAATTTTTAAATGCGTCACTTCTCGTTGACAATATTCTGGCAATGTGCGTTTCAGAACCTGCCGAAACTTTTATTACTAAGGTATTTTGACGCCAAACGATTATGAAAGGCACTTCTCATTCACTCGTAATGTTAAATTTCACGGAACGAATCTGCTGTTTGGGTAGAGGCTACGCGCTCATGGGGCGGAGCCACGTAATGACGCCAGCGCTAAGCTCCGCCCTACCCCTCCGGCGCTCCTTGCCCGGCGACCGGTCACTCGCGTCTCTCGCTCCATTCAGGCTTGATGGTGGGCGGTAGCTGGTAGCGGTAGCGGGCGCTGGTAGATGATATTAAGAGCAGATGGCGCTGGTGGCGGGGCTCGAGTGTGGCCGAGCGCAAGCCTCTGCCCGGGCCTGAATTGACCTTAGCACCAGTATAACGCCTTTTGCGGCGACTAACGGAGCGAGCGAGAGGGTGGGCCTTGCACGTGCGAAATTGCGAGGGGGTACCTCCAACTGACTTGTGCACGGCACCCTACTAACCGGTCTCTAGCGACGTGCCAAATTTGGGCACAATCGGCCCAGCCGTTCTCGAGATCTGGAAGCGGCACCCTGCACGTGCGCACGTGCAAAATGGGTCCCAACTGACTTGTGCACGGCACCCTACTAACCGGTCCCGAACTGTGTACCAAATTTGAGCGCAATCGGTCGAGCCGTTCTCGAGATCTGGAAACGACCCCTGCACGTGCGCACGTGCAGCAGCACCCCAACTCTGGCACATGGATATGCAGTGCCTAGTGGGTGCCTACCTACATGCCAACTTTCAGCGCAATCGGCCAAGTAGTTACCGAGATATTGCAACAATTGCAAAACGGACACCTCTTCGTTTTGCACGTGGCACGTGCATAAGGGGTCACCCACATGCATCAGGAATAGTCCAATACTTGGTAGAAGGAATGAAGCTACCCTACAAAAATTACCGCGTGTAAATCGGTCAAGTGGTTGCTGAGATATAAGCCTCGCAAAAGCGTGACCACGGCCGGCCGGCCGGCCGCTCATACTCAGAAATTTCCGTTAAAGGTAGTGTGCCACCTTTGAAAGATTTCCCATTTTATTTTTCCTAGGATAAGAAGCTTCTGTTTTTACCTAATATCGCAAAAAAAAATCAAAAATGGGCCTGGAATAGTGCCCTTTTCGCCTTAAAGTTTTTCGGTTTTTAGATATGTATAACAACTGTAGTGGGCTCACCTGCAAACAGGCGTCGGGCAACAATCGCGAATGCGGCGCACTTATGACAATAAGCAAAGGTCATTATAGTGTTACGACCATACGACGTACGGGAATGAGTTATCAGCTGTCTAATCGTAGACAACACAATGTCGAGCCTTAAACTGTAAGCCCGTATTGGTATTGTTTCTTTTATTTGGCTGTCGAACATTATTTATGGTTTAAAATATGATTTTATGTAAAATAATTGATATGAAAAAGCCGTCTTATAAGTTATGACCCCATTTCACCACACGCAAGTGGCAGAAATGACAATGATCAGCTGACGCATTTTTCTTGGCCGAAGTCAGAGCGCGCGGCCCGACGCACCACGCGTATTTGGAAATTCCGACCTCGACGAGCATCAGAAGCCACCTAACAGGCGTGTTCGAAACCGCAGGAGATGATGATGAACGGGTTTATCGAAACTTGATTGGATGAGCATATCGGTAATAGCGATTTCAGTGTGTGCATTTATTGTTCATAGTGGTGTGAAATGTGGTTGGGGTACGACCGACAACCCGTCGGGGCGAATTTCGCACTGGGGTACTCAAAATTTGAAGAATTTAAGACGTTTCCATGAGTTTTGAAGGTATGGATAAGTTCTAAAAATCCGGTTCTCCTTATCTGGGCCATTAACTTCATACGGTCCAAGAAAGCTGGCACACTACCTTTAATCTAAGGAAAGACTACGCTCGCTTCGCTCGCTCCGTAATTACGAGTGAATGAGAAGTACCGTTCATAATCGTTTGGCGTCAAAATACCTTAGTAATAAAAGTTTCGGCAGGTTCTGAAACACACATTGCCAGAATATTGTCAACGAGAGTTGACGCATTTAAAAATTATCGCAAAAAAGTGGGGTCTCAAGGGGTTTGACGTCCATAGTAAATGGTCGTCCGACTCGATTCCAAACCCTCACTAGGGGGAGGGGAATGGGAGGGGAGGCCGGGCCACACCCCAGCGACCCTCATTGAGGGCCCGATGGCAACTCACTGATTCACTGAACTCTGACACAATACACGCTTAGATGTACCAAGAATCATGTCTTTATGGTAATGGCTACCCGTTTAGTGCGGGCGATCGGGACCTGCACAAAGAAACCTCACAAACGGAAGCGCGACTGCAGTTCCCGACAGTCGAATGCAACCTTTGAAGAGGAACACTACGGTTAAAGACTGTTTCACAGCTACATTTTCCAACACAATACACCGGTCGGTCCTGTGCTAAAGGCAGACAAGTTCTCTCCACACACCCACTATCACCTCTTTCACCCATTGCACGCCAGCTCGTCGCCTATCTACGGAGCCAGGCCTGCTGTCCGCGCAGTCAGCCAGCCTGCTGGCTCAACGGTGCGGGACGGGGCTGGCCGGGCGGCGACCCCGGTTTACTGGGGAGCGCTGATTGTCAGAGCTCGCTGGTGCCGAGGAAATGAGGCGGCGGCATCTCGTTACAAGGCCGCCTGAGATCGTACGCTGCCTGTGTGCGGGACTGCGGGTGTGAGATAACAGCCAACCACTGGAGCTCGCTAACAGGGACGTTCTTCTCCCAGAGGGCCTCGCCAACCAACTCGGTAAAAGAAAAATGAGTCGACGCCTCTAAGAGACCATCGGGATGGCACCGTCCATCGACACCGAGCGTCGTTTTGAGGCACAATCCAGGCCATCCATTGAGAGTGCAGTCTAATAGAGACTGTACACGCAATGGATAAGATGCAAATTAAATACTCGTAGCTGATATTTGTCGCAATTGTTGTCTAGGAAAGTCATCACATTGCCGAAATATGATTAAATTGGATGAAAGGAAGGCACGTCACGGTATGAAACAAGACACTTTAGCTGTTGCCGTAGGATGGCATGATCAAAAGATATTGTATAGGCGTGAACTTTAGATGGGCGCACCTTTCTACCCACGTTCATGTATCACGAACGCAAGTAACACTATTCGCCGGTCATACCTACACCCCAGTAATTACTTCTCACGTGTGCCTTTCTACCCACGTTCATGTATCACGAACGCAAGTAACACTATTCGCCGGCCATACCTACACCCCAGTAATTACTTCTCAACGGGGGTCAGTCAGGTCCAATGGAGACCGTACACTTCGAAAGTCGCCCTTTTTAATTTGAATTCGGATGCGATGGATTCCAAAGCCTGTGTTAAACGGTGCACGATGTCTTTAGGGTCGAGCCACTCTGGAATATTACACGCCTCGTGAGGGAAGTGGCCTGGACTCCTGATTCATTACCTACACACTGTCAGGCAGGCGTCTCGTTCACTTTCCGTGCTAAAACCGGCCCCAGTGATGGGCTTAACGAGGTGCCAGTAGCAAGTACAGTCGGCGGCGCCCGCTGTTGTAAGTACCACCAGACACCACGGCGGCAGTCTGCCCATCGACCGCACACTTCACCAGAGGGCTCGCAGGGCGGCATTGAACGAGGCACACAACACGACAATAACCCCGTTCGGCGGGCGACGCGCCAAACCAGCCCCGCAACGGCGCATGGCTCCTCCAATCCGAGGTCTAATAAACCCAATAGTTCACCGGTAGCTGTTTAAAAGGATTAGATTGTCTCCGCGTCCCACAACAGCCCGACTCTGCAAAAGACCAGTGTATTTGTCGCGTATGAATAAAGCTGGTCGGCAGCGGGCTAGGCCCGGTGCAGTTCGGGCCAGGCCCGCCGGCTACGCTCACCTACGGATGTATGCAGTCGGTCGCGCGCGGCGCACAGATAGCCAGCGAGAGCGGAGGGGACAGGGCGGAACGAGCGAGCGGCGCGGCCAACACACCTCCCCACAGTGGCGTTAAAACAGCCCATAACAAAACCCCATCTACACACCGTTAGTCCGACCAACTAGATAACAAAACATTGCACTTTTTCTCTCTCAGCAAGCTTACCCTGCAGTCCGCCAAAGGGAGGGCGCGCGGTGCGTGCGCAAATCAGCCAACAGGCGCCCGGCGGGCGGCTAAGCCGTGCAGGGCGGTGCGGGGCGGGGGCGGCGGCGGCGGCATCAGCGAAAGGCGCCTCGGCGGCTGGGGGCGGCCGCCGGACGCACGCGCGTGAAAAACTTGGTTCACAAGGGCACTTCAGTAAGCCATTATTCCACTGTTTGACGCCAGTGTCTACAGGTACTCTCGTTCACAGATGGGTTGGGTTTCACCCGTCCGACCCGGGCCGGTCTCCCGTTCTACCGCCATCTACGGACCGCCGGCGGCGACTCCACTACTCACTTCTCTACGGGCGCGACGGCCGTACAAAACCTACCGAACTCTACCGTTCCGCGGCAGCGCGACGGCCGCACTCCCCGCGTCAGGCACTCACGATCACCAGCGGACAAAATCACCAACAAGATAACAACACTCACCGACACCCGAGCGGCTGACGCGCCTCAGCTTTGAGTCACAGCCGTCTTCTCTGGTCTGGCAGGCGCCGCTGCTGCCGCCGAGGCCGGGGGTGGCCGCGCCTCGCCGGCGGCTTTCAGGGGGAGGCCGGCGGGCGGCGTGGACCGCGCCGGGGCCGATGACACCTGCGCTGCCTTCCCTCCACCGCCACCGGCGCCGGGCGGGGGCGGCGCTGGCCGCGGCGACGGCGGCGGCGGCGGCTTAGGTTGCCGATCACTAGTCTTCACAGCACTTCCGCTGGTCCCACCGGTTGAAGCATCACTCCTCATCACACCCGCGGGCGGCGGCGGCAGTGCGGACGGCGGCGGGGGCGGCAGGGGCAGGGGCGCTGCCTTATCCCGCGCGGTCGGCGGCGCCTGCCCGTTGGCGATGGGTCTGCTGCCGCCGCCCACCGAGTAGGGCGAGCCTAGCAGCGCTGTCGGCGCCGTCACCGTGTTCTGCTGGAGGAACGCCGACAGCGGCAGCCGGCCCGCTGCGGCCGCCGCCGAGGCGGAGACCAGGGACGAGGGCGCGGCCGACGGTGGCCGCTCGCCGGGCCGTGGCCGAGAGCTGGGCACCGAGCACGCGATGTGCGGCCGCTCCGCAGCGGACGCCGAGATGGAGGCGGCGGGCGCACCGCTCGACGACACCGTGGCCGTCGGCGGAGGCGTGCTGCCGACCGCCGCCGCCGACAGCGCCACCTTCTGCACGCCGTTGGCACTTGTACTTTTCACTGGCGCGGTGAGATGGCGGTGCGTGGGCGGTCGGGGCGCCGTCAGCAGCGGGAACGAGCCGGGCGCACTGGTGTAGGTGAGCTGCGACACGCCTGAGTGTGCCGGCGGCGGCGCGAACATGGACACGGTCGGTCCCGGGAGGAACGACAGCGGCTGGGCGGCGTACAGGTGCGGGTAGAGAGACAGCGGCCCGGCCGGCAGCAGCTGGTCACCCCAGATGGCCGGCGGCAGGCCCGACGGCTCCACGCGCATCAGCAGCGGCGCGCGCGCCGCCTCGGCCGGCGGGCCGCCCGACGTGCCGCTCGAGTGGCGCATCTTGAAGAAGCGCGGCGGCTTGGGCGCGATCGGGGACACCGTACGTCCCGGATCGGAAGCCTTCTGGCCGGTGCCCACGTACGAGCGCGGCAGCTGCGGGTTCCACGACTTGGGCGGCGTCTTCAGCGTCTTGTAGCCCACCGGCGACGACCTCTTCCTGTCGTCTAGCTTCGGCTTGGGCCGGCTCGGCGTTGACTCCTTGCTCGGCCTCTTCTGACCCGTATCGTCCGGCGGCCGAGGTGGCCGCGGCTCTGTGCCGATCTCGTTCTTGTTGCTGTCTCTGATCGGCCCTTTGCCGGCCGGCGGAGGCGCGGTCGTTGTGGGCAGTGTGAGCGGGGGCGGCTCGCCGCCGGCCGGTGACGCCGAGCTCGTCTTAGTCGGCGGCGGCTCGGCGTCACCCTCCTCCAGGGAGACGAGGATGCTGCACGCCTGCTGGAGAATATCCACCGTGCCGCCGCCTCCGCCGGCCGCCGGCCCGTTCCCGAACGTCATCTCGCCGGTCTCACTGATATGCAGCTGCACCTCCTTACACTCGCCACTCTCGGTCCGTTTGGGGCGCGGCCCGGGCGGCGGCACCTCCGTCGGCGCCGTGACAGTCGTCACCGCCGGCGTCACAGCACCACTCGTCACCACGGTCGACACGGGAGTCTCGCTGGCGTCAGACGCCGGCTGCGTCCGCGCGGCCGGCGCCCGGCTCGCCGCCGGCACTGCCGCTGGAATGATGGCCGGTGGCGGCGCCTCCTGGCCGTTGGTGAGCCGCGCCGGGTCGCGACACACGCGCTCGGCCGCCGCCGGTGCTGAGGCCGCCACCTTGGCCGGCTCCGAGTGTCCGTCGGGCAGGGCGCGCTTGACGGGAACGGCCACGATCCGGTACTGGAGCTGCAGCGGACCAACCTGCCGGAGGGAAGGGGGTGTTACAGAGTGGTAGCAAGACGAGCCGGCAGACTGATCTGCCGGAGAGACAGGAGGATTTTATGGCATTGCCGGCATCGACTCTGGAGTCTGGACTCTGGACCGGAAAGTACACAACGAGGGTCAATTGGTCAGCAGATAAGGTGGTAAAGGAAGGTTAAATAAGGACCAAGAAAGGGTAAAAAGGGTCAAGAGATAACAATCATGTCGGAAGTTCAAATGACCGCCCCCTGAACCGGATCGATGTAAATTTTCCCGATTCCGTGGCACAGCGAAGCAGAAACGGCTTATTGCACCCTGGTCAACGAGGCTTTACGCATAGCTGATCACGGCAGAACACAATGAAACCGGACATAAACACTAAACAGTGCCTTGGGAACAGCCCGTCTGTTAGGCTAATCCAACACTCATGAATAATGTGGAAACGGATTGAATTATGCTATCCGCTTAGCATAACACTAATGGTTCGGCATAAAACGAATCAGCCATAGCCCAGTGGCAGGTAAATCACTTAAAACACATTAGTGAATGAAAACAGTATGAAGCTAAATGACCTAAATTGATTGACAGTATGATGACAAGTTTAGTTTTAGGGGCGGATGTGCCACTAGACTGGTCAGTCAACACCGGGCCCGGTGACAGCTGCTGCTGACCCGCTCCGTACCCGTCGCCAGCTGTGCAGGTAGGCCACGTCGAGCAGCATCAGGTCGCTGGTGAGCACCTCGCCCCTGGCCAGCAGCTCGACGCGCCGGCCGGCCGGCAGCTCGTGCTTACAGCCGATCATGTGTTGCAGGTGGGCCACCGTCACCTGAGCCGGACAGCGCAGGTAACGGACCTGAGGGGTGATTAGAGGGGGAAGGGGAAGTCAGAGGGGCTACCGCCGGCTACACAAAGAGGCGGTATCGGTCGGAGAATCTACGGCCGAGGCGTACTGGTCAGTGGACTTACGGAACGCGGGAGAGCACTTATCGGTCAGCGGACAGCGTACTATAGATATGGGGACACGGCATGAGTACAAACAAAATACAGCCACAAGAAGCCCGCCACAGGACGCAGGCGGCACAGGACTCAGCATTTAGCCATTAGCACATACAAGACTAAGAACAACGGCAGAGGGCGCAGAACAAGACTTTGATTCCTCAAACTGATGCCTGTGATATCTGTGCGATGTCTACCACACGGACCCCGAATGCGGATAAATGTCAAAGAAACATGTCATATTGACCGCTGACCACAAGCAAAAAAAAAAAAAAAAAACGCAAATGAACCAGTCACTCGTCCCAATCGCATGACGCGGAACATTCCTCGACATTTTTTTTCCTAATGACCAGTTTGATGATTCAATTTCATTCACTCCGATAAAGCGTCAGTCAATATTGACGCTTCGTAATCGATATTTGCGCTTAGTCTAAGGCCGTAAAAGACGCATGAACTGGGAACTTTTCGACATCAAACACTGAGGCAATCGCTAAGGTCATTTTTTGATGGCGACTCAAGGAACAAATGCCCACGGTTAACAGTTGCACATCACGAAACATCCAGCCCTGCCTGTGACTTTACACCGTATCATTAGACACTCACGCTTCACCGGTGTCATTACATATTCATGTTTCTCAACACTCTAGCCAGCATAGCGCCGCTAGAGCTGAGCTGGTTTCTCGCGAGCAGCCGTAGAGCCGAGCTGGTTTCTCGCGAGCGGCGGCCGCTCACGAGAAACCAGCTCAGCTGCTCATAACTAATCCACAGAGACTTGCCCCATGCCTCCACACCTGCCTAGCCTCATCCTTTTATTCTACCGAGCACCTCAGCTGGTAACAGCGGTGCCGATTCTCGGAAGCCGTCGGACCGGTGTTGGGGAAGGTCGCGGGCTGGTAGCGCTCGCGCCGTCTGCGGAACGCCGGCTGCCGGCGCGGGCTGCCGCCGATGACGGCTGGCCGGCCGCCGCACTGTGCCGCCGAGTGGCCGAATTACGCCATTTGCTGGCGTCACACCGGTGCAGATGGCGGCATAACTCACACTAATGGCGCAGCCGGCCGGCCGCCGCGGCACACCTCAGGAAGGCGACAATTAGAGCCGGGTCGGACCGGCCGGGACCGGTGCAGGGCAGGCGTGCGTCCGTAACACGGAAAACGGAGGACAGCGGGGGAGCCCCGCTCAACGTGCAGCGGGCAGCGTCACCCATCGAGTCCAGGGGAATGCCGTCAAATATAAACAAGAGACCTCACGGTACAGCAGACTACTGGCCACATGTCACGTAGACGTGAGTCGTGACACACATCTGTCGCTTGTACGGATAAGCTTGGACGGCCCCTTCACCATCTGACAGTTGACCGTGGGGCCACGGACCGGGTGCTCGGACCGACGCCGGTCGGCAGCGCCGCGTTGATGGCCCGTGCCGCCGGCGGTGGCGGCAGTGCACGGTAATGACGCCGGTGGGACGCCGCCGCCCCCAGCGGGCCGGGACCCTGCACGGCCCTCGTTGCCCGCCCCCTCCCCAGTGCAGCAGCCCCGTGGGTACTGCGCAGCGCGTCCGAGCGCGACACGTCCCCACACCAAGGCCAGGGAGTGAGCGCCGCCCCGTGAGAAGGGCACCGAGCCGACAGGAAGAGGCCCATGAGCAGCGCGGTCCAACGGCCGGCGGCAGGGCAGGGAAGGCGCGGCGGCCGGGAGGGGCGAGCAGGACCGCTGAATATCACCCAGCGATTGGTGGATCCCGCAAATTTGGTGCATGTAGTCGCTGAGTGCCTGGCTGCGACACTACCGAAAACCTTCTGCGGAGTTTCCCGGGCGAGAAACGATATAGGCGATAACCTAATCAATTCATGATGTTCGTTCCTACTTTAGTTTATCTGGGAGCCTACAGCTTTAACAAACACAGTCCTCTAAGGTGCGTCCCGCGTTCCTCAACCGTTCCTCTTGCTGACGCTTTTTCCTCTCTGCTTTACCTGCCACCGAACACGCTAAACCAACAGCGCCTATCGCTGAGCACACTCTCTGTCCGATCAGGATATCTGCTGTTTGGTGTGTCAAGACAGCTTCACCGATCGGCGAGGCACTGGCCCGCGCCAGGTCGGCCTACCCTACCGTCCAACGAGGAGGGACAGAGAACGTCACGCCGCTCTCCTTCCACAGCTGACCTCGCCTCGTCACCGGCTGAGTGAGTCACGGTCGAGCCGTCTCCGAGGTAGCTAGACCGTGACCGGGCCGGGGCTATCCCCCCAGTCCGGGGCTCGACACTGCAGGGTACTGCATGGCACGGTGGCCGGCCGCTCAGCCGTCAGAGATAACTGAGAGCTTTATGGTTCGTTCTAGCACCCCGACACGGTGGCTCTAGCTTCTGACCGGTGGATCAGTCGGTAAACAATGGTTCGTCCCCGCTCCACGAAGCCGTCGAGTCAGAGGGGCGGCTCGGGAGGAGGGAGAGGGGGCACAGTGCACACCAAGGCCGGCTGATGGTATGCATGTACCACCTGAGCACACAGACACACGGGCGGGCTGGCAGGTCCGGTAAAGGCACAGTGCGGATCTCCATTCGTACTTGACCTGTCCAGAACAGAAAAGCTCTATCCTCCCAATCCCTACTCACCTATTCGAGACAGAGCCATACGTATTGTCACCTACCCGACCCTGCCCTCGGCCATTCTCTTGCGACTCCGAGCCCCCCTCCCCTGAGATGTCAGTGGCAGGACTCGCCCCTATTGATCTATCCGGAGCAGAAAGGACCACAGTGACACCTCGCTCTCCAGGCGACTATATGTATAACCACATGGACCTATCTGAGGCAGGTAGGATGTCCCCCCCCCCCCCCTTCTTCCCTACCCTATTCACCTATCCGAGACAAGGATATACGCGGTGGCACACATTTCCCAGACTATGACACTCTCCTACGAAGCAGCTTCCCCGTTCCTTACCTGTCCGGGACAGGACAGTCCCCAGTGTCCATTCTTTACCTGTCAGGGACAAGGCGGTCCCCAGTGGCCCCCTTCCTTACCTGTCCGGGACAGGACGGTCCCCAGTGGCCCCCTTTCCTCACCTGTCCGGGGCAGGACGGTCCCCAGTAACCCCCCTTCCTCACCTGTCCGGGACAGGGTGGTCCGCCCGAGTACTGGTACTGCAGCCGCACCACCAGCAGCTCGTCGGGCGCGAACACGGCGCGTCGCTCCTCGCCACGCGCCTCGCCGCGCTCGCCGGGCAGCTCCGAGGCCGGCCGCGACGCGTAAAACTCGCGCCGGCGCCGCATCTCATCTGCGAGAGGGAACGACGGTTAGTGGTGTGGGGAGTAGACGTAATGACAACACAGGACATGGAATAGGCAAAGCAAAAAAAAAAAAAAAAAACATTGTCAATTGGGTAGGTTCGGACGTATGGTAGCATTCCTGCCACCGCCAGTAGTACTACATGGTACATAAAGAAGGCTCAGAGCAAACTCGTTCTAGAGCTCTGCTGGACGCAGTAAATGCATCGTGGTTGAAGGATCGTGAATATATGACTGAGGGAAATGAGCTCCAATCAAACACAGACCTCTAGATATAATTCCTTGGACGTTAACTTGACACCGATATAGCCGATCGATACGGCTGTTTTGCGACAGTGCTAAAACCATCAGTTTTGAGTAATTCGTTATCGGACACCTGGCGCCCATACAAACGCCAGCCAATACATCACACACCAACCCCACACCACCTCCACCGCGGCTGCAATCTGCGCCGTAAAAACGCGACTCGGGACAGTCTAAAATCGATGCTGGCCGACCGAAACGGCCCCCAAATGACCGGCCGGGAAGTGAGCCGACACTAACGGTGCGCCGTTCATTTAATATGGCCAATTCGCTGGTCCGAAATGGGCCCGGTCACAGACTCAGAATGGGCGACAACAATACGGTACTATTGGCGAAGGGTTACGGCACGGGCGGCACATCCGGTGGCGGTTGTACCGCGGCGTGCGGTCCAGCCGGCGAGGAAGTACGACAGTAGCCATGGGGTGACATGTGGAACGGTGGACGGAGGACATCGCGGGCCGCGGCACAGTGGGGTGGCTACTGCCGTGGACTCAATCGATCAGAGGGCTTGTCGTACACATGATAGTGGTTTCATTGATGACGTGTGTACTGAAGGCAATGCAATATACATTTCAAACCAGTCAAGACGAAAAATACTTTACCATCACCATCAATGGGCAAGAAGCCAGTTTTCATTTACGGATACTATGTTAGGCACCATTCCCCATCAATGAAAGGAGGCAACCATTTCCGAAAGGTCAAATGAATTCAACCGAGCCGAGTCAAAGCTTCTCGACCAGTCCCATGAATCGCTATTCAAGCTCTGAAAGCTGCAACACCCGGAAGAAGTTCTGAGCCGTCCCTAGGGCACCGCGCTACCGGCATTCAGCTTGAAAAGCCGAGCCGAAGTTGTCAGCCAACTTAATGCGCCCATCGTCCCGGTTTGCACGGCGTCCGTCGGCGCGTGGGGCTGACCCGACAGCCTCCCACCCGCCCCCTCGCCTCCCTGGCGTCCCGGCTACCCCTACAGGCTACACCCATAGGAACTTACCTCTGTAGAGTCCCGGCACCAGCTTGTACACGATATCCTGCAGCGTGGCGTCCGGCCGGATGCTGAGCAGCGGCTTGGTCTTGTGCACCTGCACATCGCATATGGGACAGTAGCGCGACGACTCCAGGTAGGTGACGATGCACTTGCGGCAGACTGGCGGAAGGCACGGGGCGTGTCAGAAACAGGGTGGATCAGACACGGGGGAGGCACGAGGGCGGGTCAGACGCACGGGTCGTGCGGCAGGAAGGCACGGATGTCAGAGAAGTGGAAGGATCAGTCACAGGGTCGAGTCAGAAACGGAAGGAGTTAGAAACGGGGAAGGGAGACACTGTGAAGACACTAGGGGTGGGTCAGGTATGAAACGGATGCGCTGATTCGAGCTCTGTGCAGCGAAGGGAACCGGCCGGAATGAACGACTAGGCAATGCGCTGTTGTCGAATACATTAGGAGTGGAATTGAATGGTGAATGTTACACCCGGGAAGGTAATAAAACAGCTGTTATTATCTCGAAGAGCTTTCATTATTTTTTTTTTTTTTTTTTAATTCGAACTACTCCGCCACCCATTATTAGGTGACCAGGAGTGCCCCCACCCTCAGCCCAGCGACTCACAGCACCTTACGTTAACACCAGACAAAAATAAAAAAGGATAAGTCGCGGCACTCCCAGCTAGGAAAATTGAAAAAAAAAAAACAAAGTAAGCAAAAGAAGTGCGGGAACCGGTTAATAAATAAAGAGAGCCAAAGTAGTCATTGCTGAAAGCAGCGGATGACTGTTCTACTACATCTAAGAAAGAAGTCATTCATACATGCATACATAATTGGTTAGTAGAGTGCATTCAGCCTTTCACTCCTAGAAGAAAAATCAGCAAATGGCAATCCAGTGGGGAAACATTTCTGGTCAATTCGAGCGCAGGTCAACAGCCAGACTTTCTAGGGCCCACCAGCTAAGCAGGGCTTGTTGCTGATGGACCCCTTCAAGTCCGGCGTTCCATTTGAGTGGGGACGTATCTCCTGTGTTGATAATCACAAAGGTAGGTTACATTATCAACACATCATTGTCAGCCTAGCCCAATAATAAATGCACCAATATGTCCATTTATTATTGGGCCACTTGTCGAGATGCTAAGCACTTTGTATGAAAAGTACTAGGTAAGCGTGTGTATTACGCTATTTAGGTATGTATTGCTATTTATTATCATGTTCTTGTTGTTTCTCTTATTGTAAGATTTAACATATTTTCATATTCATTTATAGGTATATTTACGAGGATACTTAGTACCCAGGATTACTTAACTAATACTTATTGCTAATACTTCACTTAAACTTTTGATAAGTACTTTTGCTTAGTACTCACTAAGTAAGATATTCTTTACATATTTTTTGAAAGTGTTTTTCGATTGAGGTACTTCTTCTAATAGAAGATCTTTAGCTATTAAGTCATTCCAGAGTTTGGGTCCGATGCAAGGAAATGAGTAGAGCCTGTAATTTTTTGTTGAAAAAACAGGTTGAAAATGATGGATATTTCTTGTCTGATGGATAGGGTCAGTTGAAAGATGAAGTAATCGTCTTACAGAGACTGGTAATTCCTGCATTATGTACTTATGCATGATAAGCATTATTTGAAGTTTGGCTACGTCTTTAATTTTAAGAATACTATATTTTTTAAATATTGGGGTAGCACTTTGTGGTGGGAAAATACCTTCAATTAGTCTCATGAACCTTTTTTGCAGAATTACCAGCCTTTGAAGGTGGTTTTCATAGTTGGAACCCCAAATGAAACAGCAGTAGTTGATATAAGGAAAAATCAAAGAATAATATAATTGAATGAGCTGCTGTTTTGGGATAAAGCGTCTAGCTCTTGCAATCATTCCAATGTTTCTGCTGATAATTTTACATATGCTACTGATATGAGATGTGAATTTGAGGTCAGAGTCAATAAGGATTCCTAAATATTTCACTGTTTTCATTTCAACTACTGCTGTGTTTCTAATGTAAATGTTTAACTTTTCAGCAGTTCTCCGTTTTGAATATACTTGGAGAAATGTTTTTGATGGGTTCACTGTGAGGTAGTTTGCTTCTAGCCATTCAGATATTTTTGACAGGGCTGCATTTGTTATTTCTTGAAGTGTTTCTCTGTTTTTATGTTTGAAAAATATTGCAGTATCATCTGCATACAACATAATTTGCCCTTCAATTGGAAGATTTGCAATGTCATTTAAGTATAGAATGAAGAGGAGTGGTCCAAGAATTGACCCCTGCGGCACTCCTATTTTTATTTCTCGTTCAGTTGACTTGACCCCTTCTATCTGTACCACTTGAAATCTGTTTGTTAAGTATGATTTGATTGTTTTTAGAATATTTCCTCGAAAACCCATTTTGTTTAACTTTTCTAGTAGTATTTGGTGTTCTACAGTGTCAAATGCTTTTGAAAGGTCAAGAAAGACACCTGCTATAATGTTATTAGTTTCCAGTGCTTCAGTTATGTAGTCTTGAATAAGCATGACTGGCATGTAGGTAGAGTTATTTTTCCTGAATCCAAATTGATTGTCTGAGAGAATGTGTCTGCTTGTTGCAAAGTCTGTCAGTTGGTAGTGGATAACCTTCTCTAATATTTTTGAAATTATTGGCAAAATGCTTATTGGTCTGTAGTTAGATAAGCTATTATGATCTCCACTTTTGAATATTGGCTTCACAGATGCTATTTTTAAGGGATCTGGGAAGGTTCCTGTTGAGAGGCATAGGTTGAAGAAATAAGTAAGCTTTGAAAGGATAGGTTTGTAAGAATGTTTCAATATTTTTGAATTGATTCCATCAATTCCAGCACCAACATCTTTAAGCTGTTTAATTATTTGTTCCACTTCATCATCAGTGACACTAGAAAAGTTAGTCATTTCTCCTTCTGTCTCTCGAACATTTTCTAAGGGATTTGTGTTGTTACAAGGAATATTTTGTTTCAACTTTTCCCCTATTTCTGTGAAAAATTTGTTGAAACTTTCAGCCATTGACATCATTTCTTGACCGCTATTCTCAGTGTTGTTTAGTGTTTCACCTGGCAAAATATCACATTTACTTTTTTGTTTTAGAAGTTCATTTAATGTTTCCCATGTCTTTTTGGGGTTCCTGTTGTTTTTTTGAAATTCTGCTTCATAGTAGGCCTTCTTTGAGTTTGTAATTGCCCTATTTAGACAGTTTCGATATTTGTTGTATTGTGCTATATTGTATGAATTTGGATTTTTAAGTTTGTTCACAAACATTTTGTTTTTGTGATTGATGGAACAGAGTATAGCTGGGGTCATCCATGGTTTTATGAAGTTATTTTTTCTTGAGCATGTTATGGTTTTTGAACACATAGCAATGCCGTCCTTGTATGCTTGTATAATCTGTATGCAGGCCAGTTCAGGATCTGTTTGAGTGGTGAGATCATCAAGACTCTCTATTAGGTGGCCCTTCAGGTGTTCAATTTTATTGTAATCAAATACTGTTCTTTCCTTATCCTTCTTTTCTAATATTTTATTTTCAACATTTGCAGTTGTAAAGATTACAAGGTGGTCTGAAAGGTCTGTTACAATTACCCCTGGTACTACTATTTTAGACAAGTCATTTGTGAAGATATTATCAATAAGAGTACTTGAGGTTGGGGTAATGCGGGTAGCTTTAGAGATAGTTGGCAAAAATCCAAAACTGCACATCAATGTAAAAAATGATTCATTTGCAGAATTATTATTAATTGAGAATAAATCAAAATTGAAGTCACCTGCAATGAATGCAAGCATGTTTAGTGCGGTTAAGGCGGAAAGAAACTGTTCCATTTCAAGAAGAAATTCCCATTCATTATCAGGGGGTCGGTAAATTTGACAAATAAGGAAAGATGGCTTGTTTCCATTAGTTACCTGTAAGGTAACTACTTCTGCTGTTTTGAATTCATGTAGTATTATCTTTTGGATGCCAGTGAAATATTTGTCATAAGCAAAAATTGCTGATCCCCCTCCTACTTTAGTTTCTCTGCTTTTGTAGAAAGCCATATATTCATCCCCTAAGCAAAACTTATTTTCTATTTTTGGATTGAGCCAGGTCTCTGAAATGCATACAAATGCCATCTTCTGGTCTATTTGTGCCAAAAATGTTACAATTTCATCAAGTTTATTTACCATTGAACGTGCGTTTATATGGATGATAGAAATGTTATTTTCAAAACAGTTCAGGCTTCTCACCTTGGTACATTCATGAAATTTGCAGCTGGTCCTGACCTTATCATATTGGGAATGAGTCGTGGATATGTTGCTTATATCATTTATGAAGGGATCAAAGGTTAAATTATAAAGATCAGATAAGGTTGACTCGTCAGCCAGCGTACCAGTTACCGCGATAGATAAGAAAAACTACGCTCAAATGTACTACGCGTATCACCACTTGTTTGTAGCACTACTGATTGAGGTGCCTCTGAGGAAGAGGAATAATTGTATTGTGTTATTTGTTTGTTTCTCTTGTTGTAACTACAATAGTACAACATTTGGGCAGTAATCTTTCCAAGGTATTTTATGAAAATTCAAAACCTGCTATTATATTCAGTATTATCACAAAATGCCAAATAATTGTAATGAGCAAAGTGAGAGGAAAGATAAAAGTGATGTTTGCCAGTAGACAAATCTGGATGACGAAATACGTTTTACCCATTCATAAGGAATATGTAAATTAGGGGAGCACGTGTTTTGTAGTACCAGCCAAGGTCTCGTGTGTAAATAACATAACATAACATAACATATATTGATTGCAACAACAGGCCACTGGTGCCCAACATGGCCTTCAGCCTGTTTTCCAGGTCTCAGTCTGCTCCTTGGCAGAACTTTGTTTTATTGCCATAGCAAGTCTTTGCTGTGGAAACTCCATAATTTTCAATGTGCTCAGGAGTGGTTGCACTCAAATTTATTTACATGTCCCTGATGCTCTGTGTTAAAAGCTCTATGTTGTAGAGTTTGGGCTTGTTTGCACTAACTGCATCAGGCAGACGTGCAGCCTCACTCACTCATTCACACTCACACTCACTCACATGCTCCCACGCCACACCAATAGCACACCGGCAGTGTGAGCGGGAGCATGTCCAGGGACATTTATGAAAAACCATTGCATTGTTTGTTTATATGCTAAGCCAAAGTTCTTCCTCCAATGATGTTTACCAAAGTTGCGAATAGGTTTGGCACAGCTGAAAGAGATTCCCTGTCAAGTGACATTGAGCAGATGTAGTGATAGCACAAGTGCTGGCTAGTTAACTAAGATATTTTTTTTTTAATCAGTGCCAGTCCTTCAAAGATCATCAGTGGTTTAAACAGAGCCCCTCTGTCCAGGTCCACCACGCCCACCCCTGCCACCTCTCCTGTTCCGAGTGACCACAAACTCCTCAAGGTCAGCCCTCTGCTCAGCAACTCGTCCTGATGGGATGTTGTTCAGGGTCTGGGAGCGAAGGAAGTTTTGGTTGGATGACTGTGGGGTGTTGTTTCTTTTTGGGGCCTGTTCCACAGCTTGGATGATTTCGTCCTTGGTCATGTTGGCTCGGATGGGGATGTATCTCTGGTCTCTGGTTTTGCGTGCCATGATGACGCCGTTCTTGGTATGATAGTTGCAGATTTGGCCAGCCTCCCACATGTCACCCAGCTGCTGGATCTGCTTTGATCTTTTGGCTGTCAGGTTTTCATGGATGGTGATCCTTGCCTGTGCTGTCTGTGTTTGACTGAATTTGGATTCGTAAACCGCATTGCGGTCATCCAGATCCTGGAATTTTATGATGACACGTTTGTTGTTTTTTAAGCGATGGCAAGCAGATATCTGTCCCTTCAGCTTTACTCCTAGTTTTTCCTCGATCACGGCTTTGGTCAGCTGACGAGTCTCAGAAGGAGTCTCATAGTGGTCAGCTTTGGCTTGCGGAAAGCCTCCACCTCCCAAGATCAGGGAATCCTTGCGGCTGTACTGTTCCACATCATCTAAGGCCTGGTCAAGTTCTGCTAGGGTCTTTTTCAGTGTCTGGTTTTCATCCTTCAGTTTTTGTATCTCCTCTTTCACTTTTTTGTTTTCCTCCCAGATTTTTTTCATCTCTCCCTCCATCTCACTAGTCACCTCCTTAACAGCTTCCTGAATAAGTCTCTTAACATCCCCTTCCTCCATGGCACCTCTATGCGCAGATGCTACTTTACTTTATGCTGAACTGCAAACAAGTAATGGTTTGAAAGTGAGAAGTCTAAACTCTAGTCAAAGGTTACGTTAACAATTATAATAGCCTTGAGACAAAAAAAAAACTATTTTAATCCTATAATATCCTCGGCCTACCACTAAATCACCACACCGACCACACCCAAGTCTTCACGAGACAAAATTGGCGCACGTCCGCTCGGCTCGAACGTCCGGCACGAAGTGAATTATGTGCCATTGTATGTACCATTATGTGCCATTGTATCTCTTTGCATAGCAATTGTACGGTTAGGTACACAAGCGCAATAGGGCAATAACGGAAATAGTTACACAGTTACGCAGGGACATTCATTGGAAGACACCGTGACGCTAAGCACAGAGGACCCGGAATAAGGCAACACCAAACCGCAACAGCGTATTACCCAAGAACGACGGGGCTTCGCAGTAATCCCCGGGACCTTCTCCGAAAACCGTGACTTGTCTCGATGGCATCTCAGATACACAACAAAACACATACACAGAGACAAACAAAGGGTGATTATGACGCATCCGGCCGGACCCGCGCCGTCACGACGCCCAGCCGTGACGTCACACTGAGTCACGGTGACGTCACGAGGCCGGAACAGTCGGAAGGTCGCATGCCAATTAATCTCGGAGGCCGGGTGACGGCGGGGGCGGTGTTACAGCCGCCCACCGTTCACACTGGGGTAAATCAGCGGCCAGCTGCCAGCTCGCGCCGGTAGCTGGGCGCCGTAACACCCGCACGGCACAGGAGCAGCAGCTGGCGGAGTACGGTGCAGCTACCGCCGCCACCGGCGGGCGATCCGACCGTGCACAGCGGCGGCAGGTGGCACCGAGCGCCGCCATCACCAATTATGCGGCAGCGAGTGCAGCGGGCGCCCACTGCGCGCTGGCGGTGTGCGGGACGCCGCTTAGAGAGTGGTACCGGTGGAGGGACGCCTACCGGCAGCAGGGAATTTGGGACACGGGTGGATGAGACAGGACCACTCACGGCAGGGAGTTCCGAGTCCGGTGTAGTGAGAAGCGATAGGGAACTAGTTCACGATGCAACTCACAGTAGGGGATTCGGGACACTAAGGAAGTGCGACACGAGCGATCACGGCAGAGTTCGGGAGTTCGGGACGCTGGTGGATGGGACAAAACCACTCACAACGGTGGGTTCGTGATAAGCTTTGCGTTGCCACAAGGATGCTTACAGACTGGGTAACTCATGAAAGCCCATAAAACGCAAACCACGAACACCGTCAACACCATCACAATCACATTCAGGCACGAAGCGCCATCAAATGCGTGGGAAAGCGCAGGCGAGCGACAAAAATGCACTAAAACAATGACACAAATGTATGCTTCTCCAATCGCAATGCAGCACAACCAACTATACGACTTCCCGTGTGCCAGCGGTGCATGCAGGAACGCGCCGCAGTACGGCAGCGGAGTGACCGTAAAAACGACACGCCATGAATCACTGGACACGGCACTCGTCCCGCCAATTACCGCGGCGCCGGTGCAATTTTAATCGACGGCTGCGGGCTCCCGCGCGGCCCGCAGCGCTGACAACCGCTGCACGGGCCAACACACGGGCCAAATCACCGGGCAAGAGCGAGGACCGCGCGCGGTGCACCGGGCGGCTCCTCAGATTCACATTCAGTGGCTCCTCAGTCCTCACCGCGTGAGCGGCAAGGCAGAGCAAACGATGAATAGGCAATGAGATGCCTCAGCTAACAGCAGCGACAATGCAAAACAATTCTAACGAACGACTGGCGTTTATCTAACGCATAACAAGACGACAAAGCACTAGTCATACAAGCGTAAGAACAGCCGTGGTACTAAATGCAAGTGGAGGCACTATTCGTGTAACGGTACTCACACGAGTGTAGGTACTCACTATTCGTGTTACGGTACTTACACGAGTGGAGACACTCGATGATGGTGGTTGCATCTATGAAGTAGCCGCCGCAGAGGACGCACATCACGTGCGGGTTGACCTCCAGCATCGGCACGCGCCCTCGGCCGGCCGGTGCCGCCAGCGACATCTGTCGACGAGGCGGCGACACTGATCAGTCACGAGTCACGACGAGTCGCACACAGTTCGGTCACCGGGTCACCGCCGGGGTGGAGCCGAGCGGGCGCCGCCGCCGCCCCTCATCTCGCGACTGGCCGACAGAATCGATGTCGCCGTGTCGCCGTCGGTGAGCCGTCGGACGCGACGCCGGGGGACGGACCGACGGACGGGGTGGGCAGGTGCCGGCCAATTAGGGGGCTGTGCACGGGTCAATAGGGCGCCCTCGGGCCGGGACAGGCCGTGCTGTGCGGGGCCAGGCGGGGGAGCGCTCCAAAGTGGCTCGTTAGGAGTCGGTGGGCCAGGCGGCGCGCGGCCACCCCCGCCCGGCTCCGCCCACAGGCGAGTGAGTAACGGGGAGCGGCCACGAACGGACTCCGGCGCGACGCGCGCGCGGCCGCCGACGGTGCGTCACACACAGACGGAAACGCCGCCGAGAGGCGCCCTCGCCTCACTGCGTGGTCCCGGGCTCCAGTGCACGTCAATCTCACATCCAGCACCTGCTGACATCAGCGTGACAAGCAAAACATATACCTGGCCATGAATGAACAAATGAAAATACACTCAACAAGGAGCCTAATTGTACAAAATGGAGGGCATGCGCGACGTTGTGTATTCCCGGCCTCCATTTAAAATGAGCCCGGCGGTTAGAATGGCGTCTAATGGCAATAGAATTGCAGCACCTAACTACATGCCAGGCAGTGTCCCACAATTTGTACGACAGCTCTGTGCAACACGCCGCAACTGACGGGCACAGTGAGGCTTCAGATAATAGTACAGCCGCACTTCGCCATGCGACTCTCCGCAATCCGCACCTATATTATGGTTATTCAATAATCAGACATCTTTAGCATGGGTCAAAAATACATCCTTCATCCATGTCCTCGGCAAAACCTACAACTGAAACCGTTTCAATTACCAGCCCCGCCATCTTGGAAGTCACCAGTAACCACTGAAAACTTGCAAGCAAGGTTTTAGCAAATCATGAGAAAAAATCAGCATGACGACAGTAATAGCCACCACGTCATTTTCATACAATAGCCAACATGTTATTTAGGAGAAACGACGTTGTTTATTGCCAAGACCGGCAAAACGCCAAATGTCAATTGGACAATAACACCTCGCGACTCGCATACCTCGCTCCTGATGCGCCCTCAAACCCCAGGTTACACCGACCGCCGCTTTGACGCGGCATGCACCACACACGGCATTCATCCAGCCGTGAGAGTACAACTCGCGTAATAACGGATTAAGCGTGGCCTGCGAGCCTGGAAAAACGCGGCCGGCACGTCTCTAAGAACGGCGTGGGCCTCCCGATCAGATAGCGGTCCCGGGCAGCAGGTGTGAGCCGGGCAGCAGGACACATAGAACCGGCAGCGGCAGCGGTCATAGGACCGGAGCAGTGGCGCACCACGCGAGGTGACAGCCGCTGTCTGTACCGGACACGACGCCGGTGGCCGGCGACATAGACGACATACGGATTCGGGGGCTCAGTTCCATCCAAAGGAAACTCCATAGAGCTAACAATGCGACGGTCACGGTGGTACTTAGGTGACCAGCCGAGCGACAAACGGCTCAGCCACGCAACTCGTAGTTGCAAACATCTCGCTGTGCTATGTGTGAATTAAAATAAACGATCAGCTGTCCGCAATCCACAAAATATAAATCATGAATCACTGACCTCTGTATACAGAGGCCTATGCATGAATGTACCTATAACCCTAGACAGTAGACACCCAGCAAACATGGCCGATCAACTGAACGTAGCACTGATCAGGAAGAAGAAAAGGATCTTAGCTGTTAAGCGAAGCAACAAAAATGACGTAGGACAACATAATCGACATGGTACTAAGTACATTTTCATGTATTCTTACTGAGAATGGAGTTCAGTGCACTGGAATCAAAGGTGAGCTGGACAAAACAGATCATATCATTCTCTACTCGTGATTCGGGGATCACCGCTGCAGACGGCACAAGAAATTCACTCTTCCACCGATTCTGAGAACGCCTCGCTGTTCAGATGTGTCACCGTCGTGATGACGACTGCGGGGACCGAGCCCCGTCCCCAGCTAACAAAGACGCCAGGGGAGAGGGACGAGAGTTGGCTCGTGCCCCTCCTCTGTGCCGCGCGTCGGCGAGCCCGCGACGCACGCACCACGTAAACAGTGAACACCGCAGCCGGGGCCGCTGCCAGGAGCGCCCGGGGGCCGCCGCCGCAGCAGACACGCCCGGGGCGCTACTGCACGGCACGGGTGGGCGAGGCGACCGAACGCTGCCGTCTGGGATGAGCGCCAGTGACGGTGGAGGGCGACGGAATGCAGTGACCCAAAAATATGTTTTGGCTTGGGTGTCGGAGGGGAATATTCGTCACTACAAAAAGGGCTGAGAGTGAAAAATTGAGTCAGAACGGCACAAAAAAAGGTTGAAAACAGGGATCAACAATTTATTTGTGAATGTTAGAGGGTGCAGGAGCTGCATTATAGGATGATTAATACAACAGGGAGTGAAAAATCGCTCTGGAAAATTGGAGGTGAGAGTGGAATATTATTTTGATTTAGGTGTCGCTTCACACCCAAACCAGCAAATTTTGGGACACTGACGGAATGTGCCAAAGGAAACGAAACAGTGTCACAAATGTCACAGGAAACGACGGAGTGACATGACACATTAGCTAAAATGATTTTGTGACCTTTTACAAATTTATCGCTTGGATGGTTCCCGGCGTAAGAATGTTGACAACTTTAGACTCCGGACAAACGATTTGCGAATAATATATGAAACATAAGTGATTACTAAAACCAATCTCTTTTCAAAAGCTACGGTGGGCACAGCCCTATAAGACATCCGTACCCATCTGACGCCATCGGACAAGCGGCGATATATTCCAAAAATCACAGTCCCTCACCAACCGCCTCTGTTCAACGGACACAAATGTCGTCCATCCGAGAGAAGTGACTGCCGATAAACCAATGAACGCCCACCGACAGCGAGGGGCGGCTGTCAGACAACTGATCCGTCTCGGATGACACCCGATGTCTCTAGCCAATCACAGGCTCGGAGCCGCCCCACGGACCAATCAGCTGCCGGGTGCCGAGTACGGTACGCAGGCAGAACGTCCGCCCCCACGGTCAGGAGCCACAGCGAAGGGGGTTCACTGAAGAGGAAGAAGAACCACAGAGTCCCCACTGCGATAGCCGCCGGGGGTGGAGGGTGGGGGTGGGGGAGGGGGGGAAGGGGCGGGGGCCGCGCCGGAAGCCATACAGCTGCGCACGAACCCGGCACTAAAAACAAAGCCACATGCGTGTGGGGTCATCGATTGCCGACCCCTCACCGGCGGCAGCGGGGACGATCGCACGCTCCCAATGGATACAGTGCCGCGTACGTCGGTGCCTCATAAACAGTCACCGACGACTTCTATGTATGGACAGATAGCAGGGCTTCCTGCCGCCAAAGCAGTGTCGGTACCTGTCAGGAAGACTTAACACAGCCACACCGAAGGAATACGTGTGACGAGACATCTGACAGAGCGACCCAAAAAGCAAAGACGACACTCGGCTGCCTGACATCCCGACGTGTTCATCGACTGACGATTCCGCAATGCCACGGACTATCCCGCCATCCCCAATACAAAGTTTCCGAGTCAGCTGTGAACTTCGGGCGAAGCCAGGGCCTGAGTTCGCATAATCCACGCCCATTCTGACTTAAAGTCGGTCTGGGTGAAAATAATGTCTGAGTAAGTGTCTGGACTGGGGGGGGGGGGGGGTTGGCTCGGGTCAACAGTCGTCACCGAAGCGAGCCGGCTGACAGGGCAGAGTCGCACGGCGCACAGCCCGACGCACTTACCGATAACCTGCCGGTCAAATGCGTAACAATATGTACATAAAACTATGTGCGATGGCCGATGAGGTCATTGTTCAATGTTCAAGCATGGCAGATAAACGTTGTCCAATGGTTGTGGCAGGTGAGCCCTTCACCCAACAATATCTTTCTTTTTGGAGACATCGGTACCAGCAAAACGAATTCCCATCCTGTACGAACAATCCTCAAAACAAATGCGCTGGAGCCTGGAGGGCTTCTTGCTCTGAATTAAGCAGTGAGTGCGACTTATGAAAGCATGGCGACTGCCGAGTACGACGAATGATATCAACCAGCCCCGGCCCGGGGGAGGGGGTGTTTCAGCACCCTTTTTGCGGTTTTTCGCAGATATCTCAGAAAGGAGCGGCGCTGTTTTTGGTACACCTGTTCATGCATCTTTCCCGCACATGTTGGGAAAATTTTAGACTTAGGTCTCTTAAGGTCAGGTCACCAGGTCAGTCAAGTGACCTCACAGTGTGACCAAATTGGTTTAGCGTTAGGGGGGGGGGGATGTATAAAAAAGTCGTTCGAGGATGCCACTATTTTCAAAAAAACACGTCTTCAGCCTCATTTTAGGTGCAGTTTTACAGATAATGTGGGAAAAAACTATACCTGACGTCAAGTTCTGGTGGAAAGTAAAAAAAAACAAATATTGTCATTAAAGATGTAAAAAACGTCATTGCAAGCGCGACAGTACGAGTATGACGGTGCGAATCGTACATTGGAACATTTTCAGTCTTTATTATAGGTAGGTATACTTTCACGACAAAAACGTCGTGATGATGTAATTTTAAAATGTCTGAGGATGTCATTATACTTTTCATTGGGGGTGACTTTCCCCGCAACATCACCAATTTGGCCACACTGTGACCTCACCTCAGAAAAAGAAAAAGAATCCTCGTCATAGCTACACCGACTGCATGATCGCCTTGACATTTTCAGCGATTGATAAGAGTAACAGTATGTAAAAAAATGTACGAGTATATCTCGGAATTTCGATATCAGTGACCTAATGTCAGGTCAATTTTGCGGCAACTCCACTACAAGTAAATGGGACAAAATTAAAAGGCGCCTCTTTTGGACGAACGTCATTCCAAACACTCTCAAACGTCAAGTTAC